ATCAAAATATGACACGATGATGGAGTCTATAGTCAAGTAAAGGAAAAGATAAGAGGAGACATGCCTTGAAACAATAAAAGAGTATAAGCCATAAAGTCATATCCCCATTTCGGGAAACGAGTTGGTGACTCCAACGTGTGATTACCAGAAGGAAAAGTTAGACCCCCAGAGTAATAGAAATCAGTATGGGCTGGTGAACAGGATAAACTGAACATGAATAAGGGACTGAAGGATGTTATAATAGTCGGCATCGTGAGGTCACGTTCATTCAGGAAGACACTAATAGAATGGACAACAGAAGAATAACCTTTAAAGTTCATTTAGGAAGACGCTTCTCTAAAGCATGCACCGTTAGCAGAGTTAAGCTTAAGGGACTAAGTGTGCCAGTTACGCTAAGTGTCACCCTCGTGCCTAAGAACTTTAGTTATCCTTGGTACAGAAGGGTTACCGCAAGGCGGGTAAGATGTCAATAAATATGTGAAAAGACGCTAAAGATGAAAAGATAACTATGGAATAGTAAAGAAAAAATGTGGTAAAAAAGTGAAAGGAATGAGATTGCATTTATTCAGATCCTACAGATATAATACGAATCTAGAACATTATGGAAGCATGACGCCGGGGAGAGGCAGTAAGGGTTCCGCACTAGATGATACTGATAAATAAGTGGAAATGAACACTCGATACATAAGGAGCCAGTACGAGAGCTAAGTTAAGACAAAGGATATAACCCAAAAGGGGTTACACAAAATATAGATATGAGAATGGACCAACGAGTAGTCTGTAGTGGATTCAAGAAGAGTCTAGTTATGGCTAGAAAAGAGGATACAAATAAATCAATAGATTGTGCAAGATAAACATAGTGAACCCCAACATAGGGAATCCAGTCTCGTACATACGAGATCGCAATTGTTGAAAAATATTTCAGATTGGAGTTGGGGTAGTTAAAGGTATAATATAAGTGTTTTAGAAATAAAAAAGAGTGCCACTAGGGAGACATTCAAAATTTCAGTTCGGAAGCAACCCTACGAGCACAAGGGCGCAGAGGTATGTAACTAAGGATAATTATAGGCGAGTAAGAACATCAAAGATTCCTTCGGGTATGCAATGTAATAAGCTTGTAGCTTTACAGGAGTCAGAGGGTCTCTACTATGTACTACCCCGAAAGACTAGCTGAAGAAATAAGGAAGAAGGCTTCAACCTAAGCATAGTGACATAAAGAAGAAATGGTTTTGTAACAATAGTCTCACTACAATATAGTATACACTCCATAAGAAAGTGGCACCATCGTGGCTAATGAACGGGAAGTAAAAATCAAAAGTGATATTTGAGATCATATGAGTTACAAGAAATTCCAGTATTCGTGAGCAACAAAATAAGCCAAGTATTCATGTAATAAGTGGCAGAACAACCAGGAAAAGTAATTGCTTACATTTAAAGACAACTGAGAAGGCACGAAAGGAAATCTATGGTGCTAGCAATTTAAAATAAGATTGTGAGTAGTATAAATAGATATGTGTAGGTCGCAAGCTAAAGTATGATAGAGTGACAAGGTTTTAGGTAGACAAGAGTAAGGTTGTGAAAAGGTAATTGAGAAAATGACGAGAACAGGTAAGGCCTCGAGATTAAGCCTATCAAAACAAGAGGGTTGATGGTTTCCATAAGTTATAGAAAGCTCGGTATAGTTTAAAGGAACTCAGAGGAGTCTTAGAATATAAGCAATTAGAAGAGGTGAAATACTGCCCTGGTAGTAGAATAAGTGTGTAATGGTGATAGATAAGAGGATGACGTTTAGGCGTTTGAATGAGTAATGATTTTAAGAAAAGGGATTTCATGAATTACATGGGATTAGAATACCCATATAAGATGAATCACGCCGGGATGCTATGAAATACGGTTATTGAAGTATAGTATCACCCCTAGGTGGATCAGGAAAATCACTTCAGATCTTCCCCGATGAGATGTGAGCCCTAGTGGCAATGTATTACGTAAGAGGTCTCAAGTTATCGGTTGTAGATATAGATCTACATTAAGGTGAATCAATAATAGATGGATAAAAATTTTGAAGTATAAGAGGAAGTTATGATGTTATTCTTTAGATGAACAATAATAAGGGAGCATTAAAGGACTTAGATTTATACATATGGGATAAGCACTGGGAGAGTAACCTGGAGTTGGGTAGCAGACATCGGTAATAATTAACCGAAGTAAGTGTTATAGTACGATATGACCTACCTAGATGTACTAAAGCCATAAGAACAGATAACCAAGGCTAGGAAACAAAATATAATAATAGTGGTACATTCAATAAAGTACCAAGCGAAGAACTTCAGTATACCTATAGATGCCCAGAAGGACAGCTTGTCGTAGTCCTATGTATGTTCATAAAGTGAGGCGTAGAGATTGGATAAAATCTGGAGGAAAATGAGAGAAGAGTCGCATAGGCACACATACAAGGACAAATCGTACAGACTGCATGATAGAAGGTAGCAATAGTTACGAGATTGGAAGAATTCTGACCAAGAGTCGTGGCGTGAAAAAGAGGCCTAAAGGTGGGAATCTTTGGCCTTTGGATTTATTCATAGAACAGTTGCCTAGATGGCAAAGGACAATATTAAGTATTCATAAGAGCCATAGTTTATGGGAATAATAAGTGCATCAGTCAACATTCGAGGACGAATGTTCCAAAGAGGGAATGATGTTACACCCCATATTTTTGTACGTGAAAGTACGTCGTAAGTCAATTGATGTAAGCTTGAAAATGAGATCCTCTTTGAAAGTTTATAAAGTGATTTAATGATGTTATGCCTCATTTTCACAAGCCTTTAAGAGTTATCATTCGGGAAAAAATATTTCTAAGGGGACATGTTGTTACACCCTGTACTTCAGACGTCACTGTCATTATAGGATTATCTAAAGTAATTAAATAAGTATCCACATAATCTGATAACCATTACGAACAACTAATATCTCGAAATATAATACTTAAACTCTAGCCCAAATCCCACACTAGACCATGGAGCATCTAAGAGAATTGCAAAAGACATCATATGAATAAATAATGAAGACTCTTTTGGAAGCCTCCACGAACAATGCGGCGGCTCACCTCAATAACTGAATCAACTCTAGCGAACTCGTCAGTTACTAGCTCTGTCTTCGCCAATAGTATCTGCATAGATATGCAGGTAAGGAGTGAGTTATACGTAAATATAACCCAGTAAGATCCTTGACCTGCCACTTTAAATACCCTTGGAACAAGTGTTAGAAAATACAAACACACAACGAGCACAGAAATAATGTGCATAGAAATGCTTTCGCCATATAATTATTCTATAAGGCCCAAATAATTATTCAACAATAACACTATATATATCTCAACGCAATCTACACTAAGGACTTTTCATTAACGGCAGTGCAGGAAATTAACCGAACACCCCACAATGCCCCAAATCTATCACGGCGGCATACACAATGCCCCAAATATATTACGGCTGCATACACAATGCCCCAAATCTATCACGGCGGCATACACAATGTCCCATATATATTACGGCGACATACACAATGCCCCAAATATATTACGGCGGCATACACAATCCCCAAATCTATCACGGCGGCATACACAATGCCCCAAATGTATTACGGCAATGAAGAAATAATTTCTAACACCCCAACGCCATAGCATGAGGCTGCGCCACATCACACTACACCACAAATCACTTATTAAATAATTTCAGTTTTTTACAAAATAATATATATTTGCGGCTGGTCAAAAATCACCGATTCTGCCAAGCGCACTCTCGTCCCAACACATGAACCAGGCAGACAAAATATTTTTCAAAACGAGTTTTGAAAAAGCAAACATCAAAGCTTAAAGTCTTACTTACCTCGATATCGGGAAGTTTTTTAACCTTGTAACGTCTAGTACACCAACCAAACGGCTTCCAATGGCCTCAATCTATCCAGAATATTGAATAACACGTCCTAATTAGTCTAGATGAATAATTTTCATAATCTTAGAACGAGTCAAAATTAAAATCAACCCTCAGTCTAATTAATAAAAATTTATATATACAAATAAATACCAAACTAGGTACTGCAACGCTGCAATGTAACGTCTTAGAAGAACTTCACCTGCTTATACCATTCCTTTCTAACATGGAAAATTCTACAACTTTCATATAATAGTAAAATTCCTAACCATTATTCTCATTATTTCTTAGCTTATTCATTACTAAACTCATGACATAATGATTGTTCCTATATTCTAATGTACTAACTGATACAAATTCGTTACGGAAGCAAATCAGTATAAAAATCTTGTTTTCAAATTCCTAAATCTTATATCTCATATTTAAAAGTCACTCCTCATTATAATTATTTCTTTTCATCACTGTCTTAAATCATTATCAAAATATACATTGATAACTTTATTACTCCTATTTAATTTAATATGCTACTAAAGGATAGGAATAGAGATAAATTTACCTGATCACTTAGGTTTCTTCACAAGCTTCTCACGTAGAAGTTAGTCAACTTAAACAACAATACTTTGTCTCTTCCAATTACTGTGCATCACATCATTGTTTCATAGCCTCTTTATATTATTTTATCTACTATATGCTCTCCAATTGGTTACGGCTGATGGTGCTCTTTAGAGTTAATGTTTTTACTATTGTCCAATATAAGCCCTAATATATTTATAACCTCTTAAATCTCAAGTCGGGATGGACTTGGCCCACTTGCTTATTATTACACAAAAAGTCAAAGTCCCCTATTTCCAAATTCTTTAATTAGCCCACTAGTTATTTATTTAATACATTATCTTATATACTATAATACATTATCTTCCACTATATATATATATATAATTAATTTTTCAATCTCATAATTAACAAGTATATCAAAATACTTCGGGTTATTACAGTAATAGCCAACTGTCTTATTGGAAAGAGAGACGTAATAATGCGAATATTTATACAACAACAACCTATAACGTCTCGAAATTTAAAATTTCTCACATGGGTCTCAAGCGCTATTTTATTAACAAGTAATTAGTGAACATTTCAACGTTTAATCTCCTATAAAGCTCAGTTGATCAGATGGGGAAACAATACCTAGAAAAGAAAGAAAGATGGCTAATTTCATTGCGGATACGAAGAACAAGATTCAAGATCTGTTCGTATACCTCGTTTCATGTGGAAAATCTTCTAAAGGTAAGAGTTGAAAACTATATTTTCTGGAAAACTTTGCCTTTTTATTTCTTCTTAATTTTCATGTTAGAAACTCCCTTTTTTGGGGGTGGGTGGGGGGGGGGGGGGTGGGGGAGGGTATGGGAAGTGATTTGGGGTAGATGTTAAATGGATTTTAAGTTCAGTGTAATAATGTTTTCACAATATTAGTAAACTTTTATATATGATAACATGTTAGCTTCCATTATTTTGACCAAATTATCAATTGGAGTAATAGTTAGCAAGAGTTTTACGTGTAATTACTCAATGATTTAAGTTATATGCACTAACAATATAATAAATTTTTGCACAACCAATGTGATTTAATCTGTTATATATAGTAGGTAATTTATCATTTGTTCCAAGTTATAAATCAAATGCTTCTTATTAAATGGAATTATGTGTAATTAACTTTTAAGAAACCTTTCTTTTTACATCGTTAATGTATATAGAACTTAAATTCTTACTTAATTAACAAGTGACTTAGTCGGCATTTTCACATAAGAATTGTGAAATTTCAGAAAAAAGTGAAAAACAAATTTCAAGTGAAAATGATATTTGAAAATTAGAGTTGTGTTTGAGAATGAATATAATTTGGAGTTGTTTTTGAATTTTTGTAAGTGATTTAAAATAAAAATTTTGAAAAATAGCTTATTGAAGTTTTTTAAATTTTTGAAAAATTTCGAAATTCAACTTCGAGTGAATTCGAAAAAAGTAAAAAAAAAAATTTATGGCCAAGCGGGCCCTTAATCATTGTATAAATATTTTTACACACCATCGGTATATAGAACATAAACTCGTGTTCATTTTGTTAGACCAAGGGCCAGCAAAAGATGTAGCAGAAAACTTCCAGGAAATTGGTGGACTGGTAATTATAGATGAACCAGGAAATGCACCAACAGCACCAATTACAGGTGAACAAGGAAATAATGCAGAGGAAGAGCAGCAAGATTTTGCAATATTCCCACCTGGAGATCCAAGAAACAATATAATATATGATCAACCAGAAAATAATAATGATGAAATTCCATCGGCAGGAAATGAACAATATTATGTGCCGCTTGTTCCTCAAGGTAAAGCAAATGTTCCTAGAGCTCCACCCAAACGAGTGCCTCCTAAGGGTGAAACTGGTTGAAATAATACAATCATACCTCTATATAACAACATCTCTGTATAACAGTCATTTATTATAAAAGTCTAGTTTTCTCGGAACTGATCTTTTATGTTATGTTGTAATATATGTTCTCTATAACAACACTTTACTATAGCATCCAAAAAATATTAAAACAAACGCGGATGTTATAGAGAGGGTTTGACTGTGCTCTGTCCTAATTGATATGATATTCTTTTCAATTTATGTGAATCCTGAGCATCCTCTGAAGCTAAACCGCTGAAAGTGGGAGGGTGGTACTTTTTGTACCTCTCGAGCCTGAGCTGCTCCCCCTCTAAAACTGTTGCCCTAGCCTCGGGCCGAACTGGGACAACTGGCTGCACTGGTATAACCTCTGGTGCATGGTCAACCTGGGCCCGTGGCTCTGGGGTACGGGCAGCGGGAGTCTGTGCTCCTCCCCCGGCCTGAGATGTGACAGGAGCAAGTAGAATCAACCTTGCCTGAGCTAGAGTGCCAAACATACTCAAAAACTGGGCAAGGGTCTCCTGAAGTGCAGGAGTAGTAACAAGCGTCCCAGATGCCTGTTCTCCAATTGGAGCTACTGGTGGCTCTGCTACAACAGCTCGTGCAGGTGCTCTAGCCGCACCACATGGTCTTCCTCAGCCTCTGGCACGACCTCTGCCCCGGCCCCAGCCTCTTGAGGCTCCAACTGGGGGCACGGGTGTCTGATCATCGGATCTAGTTGTGTGTGTCATCATCTGTGAGAGAATAGAAAGACAATAGTTTAGAACTTTGAAGTCAATAGTACGCACGATAAGGAATCAAAGAAGCGAATATTTTTCTAATAGTTCCATAGCCTCCCGAAGATAAGTACAGACGTCTCTGTACCGATCCGCAAGACTCTACTAAACCTGCTTGTGACTCATAATACCTATGAACCTAGAGCTCTGATACCAACTTGTCACGACCTCAAATTCCGTCCGTAGAATGTCGTGATGGCACCTAGTCTCTAAGACTAGGTAAGCCTATAAATGCGGAATAACAATAGAATCTGAAATAAAAAAAATCTTCAAATTCACATAATTTCAACTCCCAAAACCCGGTAGGAATAAGTCACAAACTTCTAAGAATTTATTCTCAATATATTTATATATATCAGGGTCTAAGAAAAATAAGGAAGCAACATAATAATGTTAGAAGGGAACTCCGGAGTCTGCGGATGCTGGCAGATATACCTCGAAGTCTCCGTACACAGGTAGCTCACTAATGTCTGGACTGATAGGATGTACCTGGATCTACACAAAAAGATATACAGAAGCATAGTATGAGTATACCACAGCGGTACCCAGTAAGTGCCAAGCCTAACCTCGGTAGAGTAGTGACGAGGTCAGGTCAAACCCTACTGAAATAATAAAAGACAAGGTAAAATATTTAACAATATAACAAAAATAAAATGACAATGAAAATGAATCAAGTAAGTAGTATGTCACCAACTAACTACGCAAAATAATGACAAATAATACCTCGTGGAAACAAAACAGAATTCTTTTCAACTTCAAGAAAATCACAACAATAATTAAAAGGCAACTGCGGCCATAAATTAATATCAACAAGAGCACTCCCGAGATATCGCCTCGTAGTCCCAAATAATAAATAAATTCACAATATCTCATTTATTTATATCACCGCGGGAGCCTTCACATTTAATTTTAAAGAAAAATATTTTTCCCGAAATAGCATCTTACGTTTTTTAGCCACCCTTATCACACCGCATGACTTCTAGTAGTTCCTCCTACTAGCCACGCGTATCAAGCCACCCTTATCTCACCGCATGCATTTCAACACGCAGACCTTATACCACCGCATGCATATTAATCTCACAATATATCACAATTTGCACCTCAAGTGCCCAAATAATTTAATTTGCCAAAACAAATAACATCAACAATATTTTCCACAACATGGAGCTCACGGCTCAATCAGAATGAGTACAAAATCTCACAAATATTCGGGAATAAATAATTCAGCAAAAATAATATTTAAAAAATTTTAATACGTTGCCTCAGTTCCAAATTTAAAATATCAAATATTTCATATTAAATATATTTAAATTAAAGAAATTTCACCTTCAAATAATGCACAGAATAAAAGAAATCAAGTTTCAGCTAAACAGGTAAAAATAATTAGCAGGAGAAAGTCAAGCAATTTAAAGTATATAAATCAAATCAATGATGGAGAATATAACAAGATTTAATAATTTAATTAATATGCAACAGTGATCTACATAATTTTATTTTATTTTAAAAAAATATAATCTTTCACATTTAGCCTGTGTACACACTTGTCACCTCGTGTACACGACTTTTATCACATTACAATTATCACATCATTACCAATCCTAGGGGAAATTTCCCTCAGACAAGGTTAGACAAGTCACTTACCTCAACTTGCTCCAATTTAATCCACTAGAAGGCCTTTTTCTCGATTATCCAACTCTAAATGGATCGAATCTAGCCAAAATAATTCGATGCAGTCAACAAAAATTATAGGAATCAATTTCATAAGAAAATACTATATTTTTCAATAAGATTCGAAATTAGCTCAAAAATCGCTCGTGTGGCCCACATCTCGGAATCTGGCAAAAGTTATGAAATCTGACAACCCATTCAATTACGAGTCCAACCATAACAGTTTTAATCAAATCCGACTCCGAATCGACACCGAAATCTCAAAAATTCATTTCTATGAGATTTCTAAAATTTTCCCATATTTCCATCTCAATACACTAATTAAATGGTAAAAACAATGATATATTCGTGTATATTTACCAAATCCAAGTTAGAATCACTTACCCAAATATTTTCCCTTGAAAATCTGTCAAAATTCGCTTATGCTCAAGCTCAAATTCGTCAAAAATGGCAAATGGGACGAAATCCCCAGTTTTATAAAACTGCCGAGGCAGCCATTGATCCTGGGCATCGATCATGGCTTCGATATTTATGGCCCTCGATCCTGGCCTCGGTCATAGCCCTCGATCCCGGGCTTCGATTCTGGGCCTCGATCCTGGGCCTCGATCCTACCTTCGATCATGGCCCTCGAGCCTTGCCTTCTATCATGGCCCTCGAGCCTGCCTTCGATCATCAGCTCAATTTTTGGGCTCGATTTCCAGCAGAAGAAGATTTGCAGTAGCTTTTTAAGTCCAACTTTTGATCCGTTAACCATTCGAAACATACCCGAGGCCCTCGGTATTACACCCCATATTTTTGTACGTGAAAGTACATCGTAAGTCAATTGATATAAGCTTGAAAATGAGATCCTCTTTGAAAGTATATAGTGATTTATTGATGTTACGTCTCATTTTTGCAAGCCTTTAAGAGTTATCATTTGGGTACAAATGTTTCTAAGGGGACATGTTGTTACACCCCGTACTTCAGACGTCACTGTCATTATAGGATTATCTAAAGTAAGCTCAAAAAGGATGAAATCTTTCTACAATGATAAGAAAGGTTACCAAAATTTTAAGTAAGTTAAGATGAATATGAGAATTTCTAATCATTATTTAAATGAGTTTAAAGTCATGATATGACTATATATGATGTTTGGATATGGAATATAAATTTTGGGAAAAATCAGATTTAAGTTGCGGAAAAGTCATGTTAAGATTTACCTTGTAACGAGCCATTTTGAGAAATTAATTCGTAAGTTTTATGATGTCATTTTGGGACATATATCATACCAAAATGAAGGTATATGAAACTAGTTTCCAACGGTCCAAACCATTTATTCATATGATATCGGAGTAAACAAATATGGATTTTTAAAATAGGGTCGCCAAGTCACGTCACTGCACTTCAAAGAAACTGGTAGGTTTATAGGCCAAGTTGCGAGGCAGTTTTCTCCCAATATATTAATATTTACAGGTAGATCTTTATATTTTATTAAAGCCCCATGTGTCTAGTTTCTAACTCTGCAAACCGTTCATCAATACGATATCAGTGTAGAGAGATATTTGCGTATTCGCGAGACTGCGCAGGAGGCCCCCTATGGGATCCACTTGGTCGGGGCCCGATCTTCACTTATTCTTATCTCGTTTTTGGGATGAGATTTGCTCATTTTTCGTTTTCCTTCCAGATTCACACACTCCAAACCCTCCCAAACAGCTCCCTAAAGGCTCCAACCAAATTCCAAAGGAATAGACCATAATCAAACATCAAAAGTTAGCCTACGTGAAGAAGAGAATCTCTATGGTGTCGTGATGTGATTAAGTGTGGTTGTATGATAAGGGAAGCTTTGGTTCAAGTTTTTACAGATTCTTTAAGGTATGTATAACATCCTATTTCTTGGGATTAATCTTATCTATGTGTTGGTTAAGTTATTGGATGAAGATTACAAGATAACACTTGAAAGGGGAAGAGTTGTTATCTTTTGTTGGGTTATTTTAAGGATATAAATATATATGTTGTTATGGCTGAAATTTCAAGTTGTATCTACTGCCTAAGGTATGTAAATCATATTCTTGGTTGTGCTTAAGGTTAATCATATGTTGTTTGAGTTAAAATCTTCAAGATAGTAATTGACATGGCATAAGGAATCTTTATCTTTTTTGTGGGCTGTGTTGAGGCTATATATATGGTTGGTTATGGCTGAAAATTGTTATAAATTGTTTGATTATGTTGTGGCTGCTGTTGTTAAGCTTATCTATGTACTAATTCAGTGGATTGAAGAAGGTAACATGAAAAACAAGAGGTTGACGATAAAGGTTAAGGTATTAGGCGTGTGGACTATTTTTGAAGATTATTCTTAGATGTTTTGGGATGAAAATGATATGGTAAGCATAAGCATGATGTTATACAAGTTGTAGGCAGATTCATGGAAAAAGGATTGGATTAATTTATATTTTGTTAAGTGTAAATCGAGCTTGCCACTCAAAATGGTTGTTGAAGTAATCAGAGAGTTTGTTGTGTATTATATTGTTGTTGTTTGGGCTGTTTGGTGACTTTTAATAATTTATGGGATGTAGTAAAAACAGGGAAGGTGTTGTCTGTTTTTTTGTTAGAATATTGGTTTTCAAATATGAGAGTTACAATGTTTATATGATGACGACGAAGTCGGGTTACTCATTATAGATGTAAGAAGATCATATTGAGCTTGGTTGACGATTGGAGAGAAGATTGCAAAGGTATGCTAAGGCTAAACATTTCCTTCATT